AAGCCCAGGGGCCTACGGAGATCAGGGGCCTATCATGAGCCAATAAAAAAGTTAAAACAAAAAAGTAAATTTAAAAAAAAAAGTTTTTTATTTCGGATGTTTTTAAAAAACATTTAAATAAACAGTCTTGGCTTTCAGAATATGAAACTTTTATTTCCAAAATCACACGATAAATACATTTTTGAAGCTTGTAAAGGGAAGATGACAGCTCTCACTCGCCACTCACTCCCCCTCCCTCCGGCTGAAATTATGAAAGAGTATAGTAATCATAGATAACACGGCAGGGTCCGTTACAGTTTGTTTTAATCTGGTTTCAAATAAACAAAGTCTTGGCTTTCAGAATATGAAACTTGTTTCGGCAAATTCAGATGATAAATACAACTTTGAAGCTTGTAACGGCATAATTACAAGCGGAGAACGGAGTAACTTGACGTCACAGCAGGCCAACAACAGCCGGTGTTTCTCGTGAGTGTTTTCCCCGGGAAACAAACACAATACACACAAATGCAAAAACACACACACACACACTGTAGAGTTATATTTGTATTTGTTCATGTTAGCAAACTATGGATAAGCTTAAAATGGGAATAATTTGGGTAAAACTGTGAGCTGGATTTGGGGCCTGTTGACATGTGTTTTTGAGGACAAAGGAAGATGGGGGAAGGTGAGAGCATGTCCTGATTTGCATTCAACTTAGATCTAGCTACAGTGGTTTGTGATATTAAGAGAGGTCCCTTGGGTTTCTCTGGTGCTTATCAATAGTAGCAGTTAAGTGAATACTGTTCAAACAATACCTGTGTTTGTGTTTTATATTGATTTCTCTGTTTTATCCTTTCATAAATGTAAGGACTACAAATGGCTATAAACATTCTGGGCTGGTTGGAGTAAACAGGGTTTTATTGCTCTGTGGGGGAGGTGTAGGTATGCAGGCCTTGAGACCTTTTGTTGGAAAGTGAGCCTGTTTGGTTTCCTGCTGCGTTTCCTGCTGCGTTGCGTCTCCCAATGAGATGACCTGAAAAGATGACCAGCTGACCTAACACCAAACCCCTCCTTCTTACTCTGGTATATATCCGGTGGATCCCTGGCGTTCGGCCTCTTCTTCACATGCTGCCCTCGGGTGAAAGTAGCTCTGCAGTATGCGAACCAGGGCAGGAGTAAGCCGGTATTACTCCTTAAGCATTACAATATAACTAATATATCATGTTGTATTGTAATGATTGTATTGCATTGTCATATTGCCATTAAAGTAGATTATTGTTAACGTTTACTTTGTAGATATGGATTCCTTCCTGTATTATAACTGGGATGGGTATCGTTTGAAATGTATCGATTCCGATTCCGATTCCGGTTCTGCTTATCAATTCCGGTTCTTATCGATTCCCCGTTTCGATTCCAAAATTGTAAAAGAAAGAGGTCAAACGTTTAGATAACAAAAATATCTTTATTCTTTTCAGCTTTAACTGAAATTGTTACAAATAAAAAATATACATGCAATACAAATGTATTGCACAATAGCTGTGCTTTATTTTAACTGAGCTATGCCTGTGGCAAGCTATTAACACTGTGCCCAATTGTCTTTTTATTTTTTAGTGTAGTGGAGCCTCACTTCAGAGCGTTTACCGCGACCCATCTTTGGTGTTATGAAGTGACTGAGCTCGTGAACTGTCTACGGGAGGGCGGGGGGAGCCTCGCTGCGGGGCAACTGTGGACCTCTGTCGCCTGTCAGCGCAACTTACATGATGCCGTTTAAAAAAATTAAGGGCGGTGCCGGCCATCAGCGTACCGAGCCGGCCGTCAACGGCCCGCTGACGACCGGCCGTTCTGTGATTCTCCAGGTCCGCCCTGTATTCCACCGGGTCGCCGCGGTACAGACGGACCCGCTGGAATACAGGGTCTACCGCGTTTAGGAACCGTTAAGCAGAACCGAAAAGGTGTATTTTGTACGGGTACCCGGTACCCGGCATTTTCTTATCGGTTCTCATCTGGAACCGAGTTTCGGTTCCCAACCCTAATTATAACCAGCTTCATAGGAACGCGCGGAGATTTGAAAAGCGGATCAGATATCCCTTTTAATCTCCAACAACACACACACACACACTAGGGGTTTCACAACTACCAATATTTACTAGTCGACACGTTTTTCAAAATAGCAGTCTACTAGTCGTTACGTCATAATAAAGACACAAAGAGAGGTGTACAACTGTATTTTATATCGGAACTCATACAGTTACATTAAACACTGCATTTTAATTTGTGTTACATGGCTGAGTAAATAACAAACAGTAACTGGACTTAGTAAATAACAAACAGTAACTGGACTTAGTAAATAACAAACAGTAACTGGACTCACCTAAATCGACAGCAAAAAACTCTGTTTACTGAAATGCCACGTAAATCCAGTGCGCAACAGCGCATTGCGCAACACTTTACTCGCTGTCCTCCACGATAACGTCCACCTTTCCAGATTTTTGGTTTGCGTTGAGGAACACCAACGCATCGACATGTGAGGGAAGGAGGCTTGACCGCTTTCGGGTGACAGTGTTGCCTGCCAGGGAAAAAAACCCTCTCACTCGGGGTGCCTGTGGCTGGAATAGCTCCTCGAAAGCTTGGCTAAACGGGGGACGCGGTGCACGTTTTCTGCCCACCACTCCAGTGGGTTATCCATTGTGGGGATATGCAGTGTCCGCTGGCAGTAAACCCTAGCTCATCATCCGCATCACTGTTGACCTGTTTTTTCTTGCTGCTCGTATGCCTCTGTCCTGTGCTGACGCCGGTCCGTTGCTCACTGGTGCTAGCATTACTGCTAGTGCTGTCGGCAGCGGGTGTCTCATCTTCAGATGGTTGCGCATAGCAGATGTATTTTTGTTGTACTTCAGTACAGCTGTACACAACTGACACTTCACTGTGGAGTTGGTTACATATTTGTTGAAGTACTGCCATACATAAGAATGTCGGACGTGTTTTGAAGCATTTTGCAGCACCTCGTTTACCTCCATTTTTTTTCACGACTAGTTGACTAGGGCCTACAGCGCCGACTAGTGGTAAAGGTAGTCGACTAGTCGATTAGTTGGTGAAACCCCTAACACACACACACACACACACACACACACACACACACACACACACACACACACACACACACACACACACACACGAGCTTCCCCCAGACCAGTAATCCCAACGAAAATATCTTCCCTCCGTAGTATTTTGATCATTTGCTCCGCTAATCAATCAGATCGATGGATTCCAGAGATTTTTCTCAAAAATGATGACTCCGAAACAGTCAGTGGGCACCACTTAACAGCCAATCAGAATGAGAATATGTTTCACATGTGACTTATTCAAATTGCGAGTGATTGAGTGACAGATGAAGGTTGTTTAGGAGAAAAAGTTTGAGAGTGGCGCTCGGAAAAGGAAATTGTTGAGGGAAAAGTAGTTTTGAGACATGCAGCTATTACAAAAAATGCCGAAGCTTACAGGTTATTTTAAACCTGTAGGCCAGGATGAGGAGGAAGGACAGATTAGTTCTGTACCGAGCGATGGAGTGGCGGGAGAGGAAAAACAGACAGGAGGGATGTTGGAGGAGATGGAGAGGACGACGAGGACTTGCTACGTGGAGGGGAGCCAACGGCAACCGGACAAATACATGAGGGAGGCCCGATACGTCACTCATCTGGAGGAGAGGACCAGGCGCGCATAGAGCAGAGTGGAGAAGTGCGATCACAGAGCCTGCCGAGGCTATAAATGACTTTGATTTGTTGTTTAAATAGGGGGCCTACAAAACCATCAGCCCCAGGGCCTGATGGCAGGTTAAGGCGGGCCTGCCCATACATGCTCGGGAAATCTGTTGACATGAACATGATCCATCGGGACGTTTCATGTAAATGTAGACCTGTGGCACCACCTCGTGTGCAACAGATTTTCTCTTTATAATAGGCCTATGTCTGTGCTGTTGCTATTAATGCACGGATCAGCATTTACCCACTCCCGCAAAAAAAAAAAAAATCCCGACTCCCCCGGAGACCGTGGTATAGTTCGCACACTGGAGGTGAGGCACAGATGAGCTCTGCCTCACCTCAGAATGCGTCACCCCACAGAAACTGGCTGGAAAGCGGGCCCTAAGCGCATGCCTGTTACCATCTCACTGTATGTCACCAATGTAATGTTTGTAGATCCCTTTATTACATTTATCCTCGCCATCCATAGTCTCTAAATAACTTATTTCACGTATGATATTTAGGCCCGCTGGTCTCATCATACAACGGCAATGAAAAAAGCACCAGGAGAGGCATCCATAACCTCTGCCGCACTGAAGGGGGCGCACGTGAGCCCACATGTTCTTGTTGCTACTGTTATTCTACGCAGAGACGGTAGACGCAAACAACAAGCTAGACTTTTGAAACTAGAGGAAGATAAGGAGGACTTTTACAAAAATGTAATGGAGATTGTTGTCCAGAAGGATAGCATGGACTTCATCTTCAAGTCAAGGTAAGACCCCAATTGTAATGAACATGGGATCTTACTAAGAAAGAACAATCCAATATTTAGATTTTGGGTATCCTTTTGTTGAACAGTCTGTTTAAAATGAATCGAAGCATCAGACTAAAAAACGTTTTGAAAATAACCGAACATTTTGATTAAGGTCAAAATATATTATTTGTAAATCTGACTCTGAAAGAGTCAGTGCCTCACCAGCCATGAACCTCACCGCACGTCACTGTATTACGGCACCCTATCTCATGATACTTTTCGGGGGTACCATCAGCCTTGACTACCAGTAACCATTGGATGATAAATTAAATGTGTTGCTAATGCATCTTTTCATTGATTATACCTTGATATTTCTTTTGCATTTCTTGCAGTTGATACTTTTCAGGACACAAGTTAGAAGCTCCATTCTGGGACAAACACATACCTGGGAGCCAAAGCCTCCTGTAGTTATTCCCCCCGATGTGTCTGTTTGTCACAAAAATAACCCATCAGAAAAGCTCTTTTCTCACCTGAAATATCCGATGATAAAGATGGCCACCAGCAGAGAGCTAAAGGACACAGCATAGCCAATGGTGTACATGACACACAGCCGCTCAAAGAAGTCTTGCTGGAACAGAGAGACATATTTTCCATTCAGTGAACTCTTTAAGGTGAGATAGAGTTGCAGAAGAAACACATACAGCTGCTGGGATAAAAGATGTCATAACATAGAAGCCAAAAAAAACCCAGAGGGATAATCCTTCTCTATTAGCATTTTGACAGGGAGATATACTAGAATACCAGGTGCACGAAAACTGGATTCATATACAACGTAAATGCTGCTATATTAATTACACTTAAACATTCTAATATGATTATTTTGTATTGGTGCCTATGTCCTCTGTTCAATAAAATAATATTGGACTGTCTTTATTCTTTTTGTATTCTGCAAGCATTTTATTGTGTTTTAATGGCATATGGAATGATTCAGTGCATTTGTTCTTTGCCAGATTATTCATAGTCAGCCTCCACATGAGCTTTTCCTGTGAGATTGACAGTTTAGACTCTTACATATGCTGACACTCTTTGTCATAAATGAATATTCTTGTGTATGGGACTAATACCCAGGGGGCAAAGTCATTTTACAGACATGGAATGTTGTAAAAGGTTGTCCACCAGAAATGATATCTAGGACCTTCAAGGATCACAACCTGGGTGGACAACCCGGTCAACTAGCTACTGGAAAGCTACAGTGAGGATCCAAACAATGCAACCCCTATATGAAAAAAAGTCAAAAATTCTGTCTGGATCAGATGCCATCATTCTCTTTCTGAATGAATATCTCGGTGACAGTTCATGGTAAAGACAAACTGAGCCAACCTATTGAAAGAGCAGAAAATAAGCTTTCAGGTGATGCCTTGGTTAAGCCTGTTCTCAATAAGGCCACTAGATGGCGCTATGGCTTTTTTGTCTCTCCAAAGCTAAATCCATTTCAAGCAATGCACTTGTGGTCCTCTGGAATGTTTGCTGTGTTCAAAATGGGTAAATATACTTAAAAGATTATTTCTATATAACATATTAAAGGGTTTACATTAATATACACAAGGTTTGCTGCCGATGCTAAGTTGAATTGATTCAATATTTACAGATTTTCCAGCAAGTGAGAGGATTTTAAGCTAGCTAGCTAGCTGTTACTGTAAGCTAAAATTCTTTAATAATTTGTAAATCAGTTTTACAGTATTATTCATTTAATCAATATATATATATATATATATATATTTATTATCATTTGATTAAGTGTTTCATGTGTGTGATCTTTTTGTGTGTGCAGTGCTGTATGGATCAATACCATGCCACCTTGACATGCACACTTTAAAACCTCTTGAGCCCGAATGCTCCCGGTACCGGGGGCAGACGCAGCATCTTGTAAGAAACACCATCCCAGGGCTTGTTAATATTTAACAACCTATTAATGTGGCATACCCACTTAACGGGAAGAAACTCAGCTAACAGAGGATAATAACCATTTTACCTAATGGAAAACAATTCCAACACCAAGCGTCTAAATCAGCATGCTACATTAGCGTTACATTAGCATCTTGCGTATCAACACCTTTGGGCATAGTCACTACCTACCACTTATTCAACCAGACACGTACTAAATCACTCATTATGATGAACAACAGATTGGGGCTTGGGATCAGTTATGAACGTATGCAGCGTCAGCTAACAGCACAAAGTTAGAAGGTCATGCAGCAGGTTGAACCTGATGGTGTTTACATCCCAGAGACCATGATGAAAAACAGCGAGATCCCCCATGTGTTTGCCATGGACAATCTGGACTGGAAGAAGAAGACACTGGAGGGTGGGAGTTTTAATGCCACCACTGTAATCATAATTGAAAACCAAAAGATTGTGCGGGTCCAGGAGGGTGCCAGACTCCCCACTTCTACCTCGGATAGAAAGAAGACTCTCTCAGATGTTACTGACCTACCTGCTCCCATGTGACACGTCTCAGCTAAAGACAGGCAGAGATCCAGGTCACTTGAGCATATTGAGAAGCTAGAGAGTCTGGATACTTCCTCAGATGGCACAGCTGAAGACCTGTTACTTACTGTATGCGGCATCTAGCAAGAATGGTTACAACTTCAGAATTGCTGGATGCTCCTCCAGATGCAGAAGCAGGACTGCCTGGCTTTTCTGCCTTCTGTGCAGACCTCCACCCACACAGACCGGCCAGTATCATTGGCTATCTTCCTCTCATCCCAGCATCTCTAACTGATCCTGCTGTCCTGAAAGAAGAAAATGAAACGGCTGATCAAGACATCGCATGCACTGGGAGACAAGTATACCATTATCATTGGAGATCAGGCTACATATGAACTCGCAGTTGCCATCAGAGACAAGCACAGAGATGAGTTCTGGAATGTAGTCCTGCTGCTGGGGGGATTTCACCAAGCTCATAACTACATGAAGGCTGTTTGCAAGATCATCAGGGATGCAGGTGCAGAGGATATTCTTGTTGCAGCTGGTCTGTTTCAGGAAGAGACTGCCAAGAAGATGTTTGGTGAGAAGGCTGACCACTACCAAACCATGCATGCTCTCAGGATCCTCAGTGAGGCCATGTGGCGCTTGTACTGGCAAGCATTTGAGGGATGTGCAGCAGACAGAGAAACCCAACACTGGCAGTCACAAGTAGAACATGTTGTGAAGATGTTGTTTGAGAAAGACACCACTGCTACTGAGAAGTTGGTGATCATCCAGATGTCACGTCCACAGATATAAATCCTACAAGAACAGATGTTACTTTTCCAGGAATCTCTGCAGTTTTCTGGTTAATCTTTCTGGAGATGTCAGACATTATCCACAGGTTCATCTACTACCAGTGGGAAGGTTACTGGGCAGGAGAACTCTGTGAATCAGCATGGATGCTACCTTACCTCACTGCAGCAGGACACTACAAATATGGGCAGCAGTCTTTGCGTCTGTATTTGTCTGAGATGAAGAAACTGCCAGAGACAGCCCCTAAGGCACATGAAGCACTGATGGCAGGTGCATTTGTTGGAAGAAGAGCAGATGGCAACCACAATGGTGTCTCTCCTGCTATGCTTCTGGAGCAGACATATAATGCAGATGCCAAGGAGGCAAGTGGTCTGGATGGCATTACACTCAATCGTGCTGCCAGGATGAAGTGGGTCTACACAAAACCACTCACTGCAGCTATCTCTGCAGAGCTCAAGTCAACGCTGCACCTCCATTCCTCCAGCCCCCACCATGAATCTGGTTGGAGTCGTGTCAACAGGGATGCAGAGATGGTAGTCAAGGTAATGGCAGCAGTAGAGACCACCCCATTCACGACAGCCACACCATCCCTGAACAATATATCTACTGGTGAGTGTGCAGATCCCACAGTCAAGGACAACCTGAGTGTGAAAGCAGTTGGTTTGAAGGCATTGTCAGAGTCACTGTCCAGTGACCAGAAGAAGACAAGTGTTGTAAAGCTAAACACCTTCCATACACAAAACAGGAGAACTCAGCATTGTTGACTTCCCCCATCCCTCTTCCAGGAAGATGGCAGAATGAGAACAGGGACCAAGGCGGGCCTTGTGAAGATCTTGAAAGAGAAAAACAAAGAAAGCAGCATCCCTGATCTGCCCAAAGACTGCCTCAAGACCGCAGTAGTCGTAGATGCCATGTCCGCCATACAACACTGGTCTTTTCACAGAGGAAAAGGATTTGGAGTGATCGCTGAGCGATACAGGCACCTGCTGCTGATTGATGTGCCTCCTGGCACTGACATCATACACTTCTGTTGTGACAAATACAGTACAACCAGCCTCAAGTCAGCTGAGCAGGAACAGAGATATGCCAGATCCAAACCAGCGAAAGTGTATGAAGTCAGTGAGCAGTACACAGCTCGGGATCCAAAGAAGTTTGTTTCAGTGTCTGCTAACAAAGCAAACCTGCTGAGCTTCCTTTGTGAGAAGTGGTGTGAGGATGAACAACTTGAACCTGGTCTTGGCCCCACTCATCTCTACCTGGGTGGTGGATTCAAAGAAGAGACGAAGAGTGTGGTGCTCACAGCATGGTCTGTTATGGATGTTCCTGCTCTTGAATCAACACAGCAGGAGGCTGACACTAGGATCTTCCTCCACACTCTCTACAGCAGTGGTTTCCAACTTTTTTTTTACCAAGGCACCCCTGAAAATATTTCTCGACCCCAAGGCACCCCAACTTTTTGTAGATTTAAAAACCACTTCAGAGCTTAAACTAAAAACAATAAATACACCATAAATTGGTTTTCAAATGTGTATTTAATTGAATAGAACATTTTATAGAACAAATAATTTATTCACACATAATAACAAGAACCAGACTAAAAATGTCAACACCATTTCTATGATGAATTCAATATTATAAACAGGCCTACTAAGTAGGCTCTTTTGTTTTGGCTGAAAATAGTAGGCCTACCTGTGTAAAAACACGAATACATATCAATACAGTTATTATTTTACATTTGGATTTCAAAAGAGGCAGGCTTATGATCACTTAGATGAAATAATAGAATTGGAGGGATGAAACAATGCCCTCTGACCTGACTGTGGTCATGTGACTCATCAACCACATCCCAAATATGAAACATTCTGCATTTCGCTATCCAGATAATACTGATTGACAAAATCATAAATCATACATTTATAAGAAAGGCACACAAATTAACATCCAAACATAAACATTTCTCAGACCGTTACATGGTGCTAGTGCGACACTTGTGCCTGCTTTTTTGAGCAGAGTCTCTTGCGTGGGGGGATAATGGACAGCGCAACGCGGAGGTCCTGCTCCACTGACAGCCAGGTGCGGGTCTTGTTTTTGACATATGCGAGTGAGGAAAACGCCAGCTCGCACAAGTAGGAGGTTGGAAACTGTAAAAGCACCTTGATGGCACTCTCTGAGAGGGATGGATACTCGTGTCCCAGAAGCAGCCAAAATATATCCAGACGTAGTTCCCCGTGCTTCAGTTTCAGGGAGCGGTCCATAGATAGCTCTGCGAGTTCATCCTGAGCTCTGCTGTTTAAACTTGTGGCTGATATTAATGACAGGATTAAACGGATCCCGGAGCCAATCGAA